GAATTCATTAAAGAATGCTACGATAACACGGGGCAATCTACAAAGAACAGCTATAACAAATGTTTTATAATGAAATAAGAAATTCCGTATCATCTTTTTTCCAGCGCAATAATTTTCAAAATAAATAAAAGACTCAATATTTACCGACCATTTGTCATCAAGATATTCAAAAAAGACAGATAAGAAGTTTAATAGGATTCCAATGGGCGATAAAAAGATTTGCTGGTCGTCTATTTATTCCTTTGAAATGCCGGTGCTCTTGATCAGCTATGTACATATTCCACGAGAAAGGGTTGTTTAACAACAGACATTACACAATAAAGGCCGATTAAATATCTATAAACATAAAAAGATTATATTTATTTTCATCTCCGCGATACCCAGGGGAGAGAGAAACCTTTCTATTTATACATATTTAGAAATTGTATGGAAAATTAATCCATGTGCTATGAACTGTATGATGTAAAAAACACCTTGATAAATTGCTTGTGCATTTTTTAAACACAAAGAATAGTCATGCTAATGAAACCTTTGGCAAGAAAAGTAGGTATACTTCGATATACATAAACAAATATACAGCAATAAGAGAGTAAAAGATAACTATGTAAAGGCAAAACCTTCTTTCATTTAAATACCTTTATTAGGTTTTTTGTGGCAGGAACATTGTTATCTCCTAAATTTAAAAACAAAAGTGAATAACTTATCAGTCTCTCACGCTGAAGTAGGAATTCAATCTATTGTTCATTTTCTACAGCAATAATTAAACTGCCTGTAAGCGCCCAAAAAACAACCTTGTTCCTTTGTCCTAGCGAAACGAGTTGATTGTTGACTTTTGCAATACCAACCATAAGTAATACTAAACACACTCCTCTACGATGAATTCTACCATCAGTTTTATAGGTCCGGGTATCAATCCTCAGTTTAAATCCAAAAATCAGTTTCACATCATCAATTTTGCTGAGAGGGTTCGTAGTACTTATGATTGATTTTGTGTGCTAAAGACTGCGAGCTTTTAGAATCACTTTTGCTTTCCTCCAACATGAGTTTTCTCCTCATTATATCTTCCGCGGCTCTCTGTTTCTTTTTTAAGTCATGGAGGTACATCATAATACCAAAAGAGTCTCCGTATCTCATAGATTTTGCCACATTGGACTGTACGGCCGGGGAAACCATGTCTCTGTAATTAATGTCAAAAATGTTGGGATAAATGAATCCTCCGATGATTTCCTCCGCCGGTTCCTCCTGAGGAACAGGGGTGGCGGAAGCTTCCTCCGTCTCCAAGTCCTCCGACATCCTCCCAAATTAGATAAAACCAACTCTAGATCTGTGAATTTCAACGTCTTAATCACTCAATTAAAATCAGAGAAGATTCATGTGTATCAACAGTAGCTGTCCATGAAGTTAAGCACAAACAAATCATTACTGGTCCAATATCGATGTCAGTAACAGGTTGACATGAGAAAGCGTAAAATTATCCTTCTTTATAAATATTTGTCTGTCGCTTTTCAAACAGTCCACTTGCTCTTCTTTTCTTCCATTTAAATATTTTTACCAATAGTCTCGTAATTTATCAAGTAATCAGGAGCTCTCGCTAAACACACTTGAGAATGCATGCAATGATATTCATTTTTAAATGTCCAGATGCGCACGTAATGTGTACCTTTCCCCTTCCTCGCTTCTTTGTAGAGCACTTGCAGCGCAAAACGATTCCTCTATGTTACATGGATTTTTTGGAGAGACTGCCAACAAATGGGTATCCCGCCAAGATATGCTTCTTATTCCTCGTATTTACGATTGTATATAGACAATATCCCAGATTTACAGCTTTTAGTTCCCCTATCAACTTCTAAGTGTCATCTATTGAATTTATGGCTATAAACAAAATACAGAAATTAAACCTACATGGCTATCCAGTAATGCTGTGTTTGTTCAATCAGAGTCCCTGAAACACATTAGTTGTACCTTTCAATGTTATCAAGAAATACCAAACCAACACGAAAAGGCCCTAATCTACTTCCCTCCCTCTCCTTTGTCACTTTTGAGGCAAACAAAAGACTCTTTCTCCAGGGCCGAAATATAAATATCAATAGGACCATTAATATTAATTCATCAATTCCATATACATATTCTTTGCTCACCTGTGCGGGAATCAACAAAATGACATAAAAAGAAATTAAGTTTTTTAACGAAACGCTGATCAAAGGTGACTTAATAATACGAGATACATCATAAGTACTGTCGAGGGCCTGCACAGCTAACAAGACGCAATATTTTAACGTAAACATCGGTAAATGACAATGGATTTTCGAAAAGATGTACTTGAAAGTTTCCATATTACTCTATTTATTAAAGAAAAATTTGAAAAAAAATTTTTATACCTTTACAACACTTAAACCAAAGTTTTCAATAATGACAGGTGAACTTAAATAATTAACCTGACAAAAAATGAAATGCACTCGAAGAACTAGTCAACGTGGGGTAGCTTATTTCCTGTACAAAGTTGACAAACCCAACTATTTTCTCAATCAATTAGGAACTGCCATTCAAAGTTAATTATTCTGGTAACAATTTAAAACTGGAATAATTATGCCAGAGTCAGCAACTAGCTAGAAATCAATAATTTACCGCCCTCTGATTCCTCAAACAAACATGTAAATCCCTCTCTATTTACTTCAAAGTCATTTTACCTGTTTACTTGGAAATTCATATTAAATATTCTATTCAATCTAAAAACCTAGATTTTTTGCAGATTTCATATTAATGAATTGTGACTAATTATTAAATACTAAGTACTTTGGAAGCATGCACTCCCTTAAAAATTCTCATTAACACATTCTTTACAAATTTTTAACATGTTTCCCTTTTTATATATCTAAAATCTGCAACATCTAAGATTCTCTGAATAATACTAGTTACATAAAAATCTGTCTTTAAGAAGTACATGTATACAGAATAACCAAGCCTTAATTTTCAACAGGACCATGAGATAATGGAGTTCCACATCTTAAAGTTCAACTGTAAATGTATAACATTACTAAATCAAAATTACATTGTAACATCTGTTGTATGATAAATTTTGACAACAAACATATTTTATTGAACCTTACAAAACTTCCATGAACTATTTTATTTTTAATAATATTTATTTTTAACATCTGTCAATTATTTACAACAATGAAATAATTGAGTGTCTAAATAGCATGATATGGGTAAAACACAAACGTAACACAAAGGTCAGACAGTGCAAATGGGAAAGAAAACTTGTAGGTAATATTCTCAATGAATATGAAATACTGGTACATCTACTAGTATATCTGAGTTCAAACATAAGTTCAGTGTTTCTACTGTTCTGTTTAACCTTAAAAATCAATTCAAACCCTGTTATCTTGAACATTGCAAGACTTTGTTAAAACTTTGAGATACAGTGTTTCAAGGATTACTTACTATCATGCTGTTTTCATTGTAATACATGTACACAAACTGATGTTCCAGATAAAAAAGTTCAACTGTAAACTATAGACTTCATAGCTGCAGAACTGTAGCTCTGCAAAAAAATATATTGAAAGACTGGAGGTCAGAATTTGGAGAAATTAAATCCCCCAAAAAATCAAGCATAAGTTTTTGTGCTCAATAAATTTTTCTATGGGTGGCATGAGAGCTCTCTGGTCATCCATCCAAATTTTTCAGAGCAGCAAGCTACAGATCTGTAGCTAAAGACTTCATAAGTTTATTTTTTCCAAAAACTTATATTCAGATTACAAAGTAACTGTTGAACACAATTCCGGCCTTATGTGCTAATCAGCAAGAAGAGGATTAAGTTAGTACAATTCCTACAAATTTAGCAGATTTTTCTTAAATTTTCTGACATAAACCCAAGTTCCTGGCTTATATTTAGATCATATACCACAATCTTAAAATGTTAGAGTCAATTAGGGAGAAAACATACCAAAAATAACATGTGTACCTTCAGTGTCAAGGGCATAATAATCAATAAATCAGATTTCAGTACAAAGCTTTGTAAAAGAACTGGGACAAAAAATACAAACATAGATAGAAAGTTCAGACTCGCTAATGTTTGATTATAACACAAACTATCACATGAATTTGCTCTCACAATACCATAGGGTTCAACAGTATCACAGTCTAGAAGGTGATATCTGAGAGCTTAGTGTCAAATACAGCTACTCTTATAGGTAAAAAGCAGTAAACAAACTCACAGAACATTATTCCTCTTACTTAGCTTTTATGCAACCTAAATAACATCATCTGTGTCATTTAACATGTTAATCTAAAGCACAGTCATTGTTGTTAATACTTTTCAAATCTGAACTTGATTGTGTCTTCTTACAGTGATTGTTTTCTTCTTAATTGGCCAGAGATACCAGTGCATTATAATAGATGTTAAACATGGATCAAGTTAATTCAGGGCACTGTGTAAAGAGAATCTGTGGGAAGTTTGTTGAAAAAAAAATTAAGATCAAATAATCAAATTTCAAAACATGAACTAAATATACAAATATATATCAAGTTTAAAAGATTTTACCCCACTGATTGAGCTACTATGACTAAATATATTAATTCTAAGGGGGAGATAAAATCTTCAAAAGTACAACATTTCACAAACAAAAGGTACAATGAACACAGGGTAAATACAAACAAGTGATTTTCTGTAAGACATCAGATAAAATTTAGAGCTCTTTCCAGCTAAAGAACCCCAAATCACATAAAACATTTTCTTCAGATTCTTTGCTGCAACTCTTTGAGCCAAACATTCAATGGTATAAAATATTTCAACATTTGAAGGGAAATAACAACACTAACAAGTTATGAAGGATGTATACCAGAGTAAATTGGAGTGATAAATAGACAAATAACACTAAGTCAGCTCTACAATGTACACTAAACCAACCCCCCCGATTTACCGGGAGTAAATTTTGTAATTTCATAGATATCACAGTGATGCCAATAAAATACACTTTTTTATCTAACAAAGGATAAAATACACTTTTTTATCTAACGAAGGATTCAGATAAAAACATCAAAAAATTTCAACTAAAGAAAAAAACTTGCTTTTTGAATTTGGTAACTACAAAATACATGTACAATAAGTAAATTTACCATTCAACCTCATCAAATTGTTGATAACTGTCTTTCCATACTGAATAAAAACTACTTTTAAACTAGAATTTTAATACAACTTTGGCTTGCTAATTTTGAATCAGTACTAAAAAAATCTGATAAACATTTAGCATTAACACAAAGCAGAGGTAATTCAAAAAATCAACAAATTATGTAGAAACTGTAAATTCAATTCTTTTATGAGTGAAATGACCATGCTACACATGTAATGAAATGTTCTGATATGTGACAACAAAGAATAAAAATAGAAATCTTTTGGATAATAAATAACACTGAGGTGGTAACTCTAGTCTGTAATAATAAATAAGACAAAAACAATCCCAGTCATGTGACACAGGTATACATTAAATGTACAGTGTGCCATGGTGACTCCCTCTATCTCCAATGTCAAGGTCAAACTCATCCTGAAGGTTGATCTGACTGAGTGAGGCTGATGCCATTGCTATGTCAGGCATGGTGTCACTTAAGGCACTGTCACTACACGGACTCAAGTCAGTCTACAAAGAAAGGACAATAACAGATATACATGTATGACAGGAGTTATTCCTCTTTTCCTATACATAAAGTACAGAAGTGAAATGACCTCAATATAAAGTTTTGTAGCATTGTCTGAAATTTCTAGATATGTTTCATTTTTAATCCACAAATTTCTGTCTTTCAAAACATCCTCTATCCATCAACAGTGCAGTAAAACACAGTTAAAGTAAATATGCTTCATAAGCAAATGGAGGGTTTTAAAACGTATTGTGAACTCAGAAGATATAACCAATTACAACAAACTAAAATTGCTGCTCCCTGGGACTTTATGTGCATTTTTCTGGTTAAAAAAATGTTGAAATGGTACTTATCTATAACAACTACATGAATATAGGTAACCAAATTCCTCATTAATAAAACAAAGATAAAAATAAGCAATGCATAGTAAATATATAAAATTTACCTCTCTTGAGGCCCCTTGTGATAAGCGAGTGGGAGGAACACACTGTACAGGTTTGGTGGGGCTCCCTAAGGGGGTCCTCTTGCTGAGAGGGGGGCTCTGCTTCCGTCTTCGTGGAGATATCAGGTACTTTTTCAGTGAATGTGTTTTAGCTGGGAGAGCTGGAGGTAGTGGATCGGGCGGGTAGTAAGAAGTCGTGTTCTGTAGCACCTCTACTGTAGAGTCTGGCAGTCCAAACTCCCGGACTGTTCTCAGCCGGAGCTGGTAGAAGACGGCCCGACGATCACTTAATGGCAGGGTTAGAGCTCTCTGGGCAGTGGGACTACTTTGTAATTCTCTTTCTCTGTGTAGCATTCTGTGTATTGTGGCATTATCAGGTACTAAGAGAAAGAAAATTATTGTTTTCAAGCATAAATTTAAGTGCATAATTTAATTTTTAATACATCTCTTCTGCATTTATCATTGTTTATATACTACCGTATAATCCCTATTAACCGCCCCTACCCCTATAAGCGCCCCCTTAGGTCTTTTTCAGTTGTAAGGAAATAAGGGCCCCCTGTAAGTGATTAAAATCAACTAGAATCTTATCAAAATAACCACCCCTTTTTGCAATTTTCTAAGCGCCTGGGGCGGTTATTAGGGATTATACGGTATACAGGTAAACTTCGTTAACTCGACATCGACGGGACAATCAGAAAATGTCGAGATATCCGAGGTGTCGAGATATCAGAGTTGAGACTCGACGTCCTTAATTTTACTGCATATATAGTAAAACCATAGACCTAAACTGAAACGACATGTAACTACCTACATGTCTTCAATAGACTGTAGCTCGTCTGTTTCGGCTATCCCTCTATATTTATTAGAAAATCAAACAAGTTATTCACAAATATAATTTATGAAATGCTTTCTTTTTTATCGAAATCTTCTCATTTTACTGCTTTCAAAGCAGTTCACAGCTTTGGATCCGCGTGTGACTAGCTCTGTCAGAACAGGATAAGAAATGCGCTCTATAAACTCCAAACCGGAATGGTACAAAGTCGACTTCCGTGATACGGGAAAAAAAATAAGGTATTATATTTTTTTAATTATTTCATTTCACTTCATTTTTATTTTATAATCATTCATCATTAATTTTCATTTCATTTTCTAACCAAAATTAACTGGATTGCGCATTAGACAAACTTTATGATGTTACACATGATATTACAGCTGATGCAATAGTCGTGCCTACATGTCGTAGATTTGATTGTTTTCTGTTGAATGCATTTTACCACAATTTTTAAGTTAAATTAAATTCAATGTGTATATTGTTCATTGTTATTCAGTTACTTTTTTTTTTTTTTTTACAAAATGTTAAAGTTTTCTTAGATTTCGACATAAATAAAAGGTTTTACATTTATGCAGAATCGAGAAATTTATCAATGATATTATCCAAGCTGAACATTAAACAATTAACGTCTCAGAGTTGCCGCAGGAGCTTAGGATTCCTCTACAAACACATTTTGTACATTATGTACAGAGCAGTATGTAGTCAAAACATGGGTGTGTGTGTCTGGTGCATGACGAGCGACCAGCTGACAAACAATTAGGTTAAGTAGAGCAGAAAATTATCCCGATGTCGACATATACCAGGTAAATTTTGCTCTTGGGACTGTGAATATACGTCGAGATAAGCAGGGTAGTCGACATTACCGAGGTCGACATATCAGAGTTTTTGCAAATCTAGTAAATAATGCAGGGACCGCGGACGGACGTCGACATATCCCAGGTTGTCGACATATCCGATGTCGAGATACCGAAGTTTACCTGTACTTCTTTTTGAAATGTATAACAATTATCAAACTCAAAATTTAAAAATCTGTATAAATTTTGAGATTTATTATAATGTGTAAATTTTACGTCCTTTTTAACAGACCTATGAAGATACAGATTTGTAGCAATTGGTATGGTTCCTGCTATGATATCCACGGTGTTACAGCTAGGAGGGTTGACGTAGTTACTGGGATACTGGCTGTTGTCGACCATGTACAGTGTGTCTGGTATGGAGGACATCTGAATGGTTCTGACACGCCCCGACTCGTGATCCTGACCCTGAGAGAGGCGCTCCTCCAGTACAGCCTGTAGTCAAAACAAATTCAAATCATTTTCAACAAAAAAAACTTATTAGCATTTCTTTTTCAGATATATATTTTTTAAGGTTGATGTGATGCAAAAAATCTCCAATATCAATTTTTTAATTCAAATTTTTATGTCAAAAAATTAAAACTCTCTAATTTAAGAACGACATTTCATATCACTTCCTTTATTATTTAAGTGTGAACTTGAGTACCTTAGCATCTTCATAATATGGACCAAATAATCGGGGCCTAACAAACATGCCATTGTTTTTCCCTCGTATCCAGGAAGATGACGGCACTACAAACCCCTCATCTCCGATCATGTGACTGGGCGGTCGACTGACAAGCCCTCGTTTTATTGCACTGTTAAGAACATCACTGTTATGGGGTAGGATATGATCTGTCCTTATTAAGCACAGGAAATCAGAGAGAATATCCTTTAATTCTTCATCATTGAGATCGCGTTTCTTCACACCCTTTTTACTGATGCTGTGTGCTGTATGGCTAAGTAAGTTGGGCTCTGGGAAAAAATTTAATAAAATTAAAATGTCTGTAAATCAAAGGCAGTTGTGAGAGACTCTCTTAATTCTGTTCAATATAATTTAATTTGCCTTCTATTTACAGTGTGATAGGCAGAGATAATCTTTCTACACATTTCTTATTTTCCAAATTGAGCAAATCATAACTTACGTCTTATGTATACAAGTTAAGTGTAACAATGCAATACTGGAGCTAAAAGTTCTCTGAGATGTTAATTACCTCTTTCCTCTAGTCTCTTCACTAAGTGATTCTCTCCCCACTTGATAATGGCTGACAGAATCTCCAGTTCACCTGCCTACAATGAAGCAATTAAAACAAGATCAAGTTTTACTTATATACTAAACCTATAAATTAAGATTTGGGTGTACACTACAGCTTTATGCTAACTCATTCTGCTTTTCAACAACCCAACTTTATCATACAATCTGCAAATTATATGTTCCTGGAGACTGAAAATTTATTTAATTGTTATAATAATTAACAAAATTGAATCCAATATGCTTTACATGTAAAAAGTAGCTAGTTTTTAACAAGTGTATAGAAACTATAGTTGTTGTAAGCTGATACAATTCTGAAGTACCCGATTCTTTTCTGGTAATCAATAAACATATTCAATAACGCACAGCAAGAACACTGTTATAATGGAGTTAGTGATTTTATGATTGCTGTAAATGAGAAGTTCTAATCATAAGAACTGAAAAATAATGACAACACATATAGAGTTACAGGAGAAGACTGATATTTCTGGTAATAAATAGGTGACTGAACCTTCATACTAGTCAACAACCTCTGGAACTACATAAAAATGTACAATGTACATGCTGAGGAAAAAAATCTTGGCTGTGGAGAAAGTTATGTACCACCTAGAGAGAGAATGTGTTCCCCTGAACACCACACAACAAACAGATAGAATAAATATCTCATCATGTAAAATGACCTTTTCAAGGTCACTGTCATCATGGTCATATCATTTCTGTCACTGATAAAAGCTTAATCAGGTATTTTTATTTAAAAGGTAATAAAGTAAATCTAAATTATTTATAATTTATTCACTATTTGGGTCCATGAATTGTCATCCTCAGCCTTTTGCATGATTAGCATAAAAAAAATAAGGATAATCTGTATTAGCAGCAATAACACTTTGCGTTGACTTTATAAATTTGAATTTCTCTAATGAATTTGTATTGATCTGTGAAGTTTGATATGTTGATCAGTTTCTTCAAAAGTTATGGTAAACATAAAATGACAAGAAATAAAGTCTCGTCACAAGTTTGAAATTGAGGCATTATTGAGCATGTTGAGCTAATGCAAAGTGTGATGTATTGGCAAATGGAAGATAGAATGACAGGAGACAGACATGAAAACGCTATCTGTACGAGGGCTGTTCGGAAATTATTGAGACAATTACATTTACTCCAAAAAGGACGGAAATAATTTCATGAAAATTCATCAACATCTTATAAAGAACGACTGAAACACTTATGCAAAATTTCTAATTCCTACGATAATTAGATAAGTTTCGGTGAAGTAATAAATATGCATATGTCTATCGACCCAGAGCAGCATCGCTACGTCATGTAACGTTACGTTAGCCGTAGATTGTTTCGCATGTGAAACGATCGGGAAGCGTTTAATTGTGTACTCTTCCTTCTTTGTTATTACATATAACATTACAAAAATCAAACAGTCTCTTTTCTTAAACTATTCTTTAAAATGTTTGCTGTTGCTACTCCGGTGAAAAATTTTCATTTGTGAGAAAGGATGACATAGAATCATGCAGTGCCGATTTATACAACGCGGGTTTAATACCGTAATGATATCAATACTGTACGTAATAACCCATGGTCATCCAGAGCTTTTAATTTTACTCTGGTTAAATTAATTGTAGAAAAAACATGTATACCGAATAAATAACAAACCTAACACATTATTTTTTCTCGTTGTTATTGTTTTAGCAGGTCGTTCAATCTTGAAAAGAGTTCTAAATTGCGCTATACAAAATTTTAGGTATGCTGGCTGCTCCGCCCTTGACGTCAAAATCCATTTTGTCGTTGTTAGATTTCTTTACCGCGCTTAAATGATCTCCGTATTTCTGATCAAATATTTATCAAAGTTGCTGAACATGAATTTGAAATAAAGCTGAAAAACTATACACTTAAACTGAATTATTTTCGCTCTCATTATGGATCCACGAAGAGTTAGAATTTTGGTGTTACATATTTTCAATATTTGATTAAGCGACTGCTCCGGGTACCCCTACTATTGACACATTTATATACCATTGTAGAAAAAATATTTAATATCTGTAAAATATTTCTTGCTCGTATTAACTCTTAGTGTATGTCAAACGTATATGCAAATTTTCACCAAAAGACGTTCATTAGAAAGCAAAATATACACAATGTCTCAATAATTTTCGAACAACCCTCGTAAAAACAACTATCACCCATGAAAACTTTTCATTACTATTTGTTGTTGCTTTGAAAGTCATCTGCAGCAATTAGTTTTTGCAACTAAGGAAACATTCTACATAGATACTCAACTAAAATAATGTTTCTCAGTGAGAAATATTTTCAAGTAAAAGAAGATTTATAAACTTGCAGATATACCGGTAATAAAAGTTGATTTAGAGTATGCAGCTCCAGCCATATAAATGGTGGTGCATAAAATCTCCAATTTTGATACTTAAATGTTACAATATATTCTTCTAACCAGATCTCTTTCCATAATGTTTGCTTTCACATTACTTTAAGAGAGCGAGAGAGGAATTGTCTGCAAGGGCACTTCAATACCCACTCCTACTAGATTTATGTTCGGGCTCTTACCTGTAAAAAGTCTGAGGCCAGGGCCTCCTTCAGGTACTCTCTGGACAGTTCAGTGAGGACTGAGGAGTGAACAACCTGAAGGAATTCCTCACGGATGAAATGGAGGGCCTGGTTATGGACCCACTTTGACCCGTGGGGTTCTGAGCTCCATGACAACACACTGATCAGATTGTCCAGGGAAATACCCTCCGCGATTATATCCTCACAACCTTAAATAAAAGTACATCAAAACTATGAAAACACTGAAATGTTATTTCTGCATGATACATGTAATAAATTCAAAATG